TTCTTTTTGTTGCCCAAAGATGAGAATTTGAAAATTCTGCCCTCTTCCTAAAGATTAAAGAGGATAGAAAGGGTAATTTGACTTAGGAGAAGAGTAAATGTTATAGAAAGTCTATATTTTATTTGGGCCAGAAGGATTTTGCATCTTTTTGGTCCATAGGACTTGGGCATCTCCTGTTCTTGTTATTAATAGGATGTGGAAGGGTAATAATTATATTACCCTCCATTTAATTGGCTAGGAAAGGGCAGGCAGTTTCCCTTCTGACTCCCTCCTCTCTTCCTCCCAGTCACTTCCTCTCTGCACTCTGATGTCATCACCGGGGGCCCAGTCGCACACTGTTAAAGTGTGCGACAAGGCCCCGTGGAAATTAATTTGAAACGGCCACCCGATGGGCCCCTTAACAACATGGGCCACCCGATGGGCCCCTTAACATGTGTCTTTGGGGGTTATACCCTGCGGTCCAGGGCCGCAACACATGGCTGGCGGGCACCTGGTTGCAGGGGTCCACAGGGTGGCTGGGCCCCCAGGAGTGACCGTGGTAGTTCTGCCACTGTCCCCAGATGTGGTAGAACTACAACTCATATGATGCTTTGTCATTCTAAAGTCATTCTAAAAGCATGCAAAGCATCATGGGATCTATCACATCTGGGGTTCTACCTATTGGGCAGCCCTGCTCCAGATATCATTAAAGTGACACTCCACTGACCAAATACAAAATAAATGAGAAGTCTTTGTAAATCAGGTGCTCTGGGCAGTTGCTGCCTCTTGAGGTCAGCTGCATTGAGCTGACAAAATCAGGAAGTAACATTACCTGTTGTCTGCGTGAAAGTGTAACCAGCTTAATTTATAAAAGTGTCAATTTACATTGAAATCTGCACTTTTTGCAAAATGAAAGAAAGAGGACACACTCTTTTGCTTTTCAGCAAGTTAAAGTTGTTTATGGGTCTAGACTCTAGAGTGACCCTTTAAAAAACAAAACCTCAATTTGAATGGATAACTCAATAAAATATGTTAAACCCAAACATTTTATGCAGTTTAAATTTCTATACTGTGAATATACACTCTTTTATATTCTATTACTGACAAAACATGTTTGCTAATTAATTACAGATATTACAGATATAATAAAATTTGAAGTATGAGGTAAAGTGCATTGCATTCTTTTGGGTAGAAAATGGAAATGTGAGACTGGCAATGTCTGTCAAATATATCACAGATGACGATAAATTATAATATCCATTTCACAAAATGCACAGTGAGTGTTATACCTCACATAAGCAAGATAGCAAGTCTTTGTAGATGATATTTGTGGAAAAACAAAATATTCAAGCATGTCAGAGTTAACATGTATGGTAACAATTTGCTAATTCAGGGAAATATTTGGCTGCCATTTTTGTAGTCAAGAAGGATTTGTTCCCACCAGGGCTATATTTTGGCGTTGTGGTTATGGTGCTTGGACGGTTCCTTTAACATAGATTTTTAAAAATGTAAGAATTTGAACATAGATGCAAACCACCATAGCAAAAGCAAAGTTACTCAGTTTAAGAAAAATAAGTTCTAAGTGAAATGATACATGTAAAAACCAGTTAGATCCAAGTAATGTCAATGTTAGAAGGTATGTGCTATCATACTGCATAAACATTTAATTTGTGAGTATTTATGTAAGTGTTAATATGGGATAAGAGCAGACTCTGGTTGGAGGGGGAGCAAAGATAAAGCAATTTATTATAGAATAGTGGGGCTATTTTAGATCAGATGCATCAGCTTTTGAACCAGTATGAACTAAAGAATTTTAGTTTCTTTTCACAATTATTATTTTAATTTTACATTACATTTTATTTTCATTTATAAGATGGAGAACAAGACCCAAAACCTGGGCAAATTTTGGAGAGCTAGAATTCCAGTTCCAGAACCTGCTATCAAGGTCCGACTGGGTTTTGCGTGTAATACTCTGTTCAGAGTAGACTCTGCTCTCAACCAAATTTAAATTTATTTGAATTCAAACTGATCAGGTATTTAGCCAAAATTCCAATTTCTGGGCCACCACATTCCAGAATCTTTGAGGAGCCGACTACTATAAACCCAAACCCTACAGCCCCCATCCCTCCCTGCTCCCACTACAGCCCCCATGACTCCCTGCACCCACTACAGTCCCGATTTTTTTCCATACCTGCTAAAGCACCAATTCCTCTCCTGTACCCACTACAGCCCCTATCCCTCCATGTACCGGCTAATTAGTGAAGAGAGGTAGTGGACTAGTAAGTATACTAGAAAGGCACTAGTAAGGACTTTGTAAGTCAGGGTAAGAATTTTTAATTTAAATGGACACTCCGGGCACCAATAATTTTTTTACAGAATGATGCACCATAAGCCTGCCTCTTTGACCAGATTGGAGTCTAGTATAACTATGAGGCTGCAGTTTTGAACTGATGGGGAGATAGTGATAGAGAAGTTAGAAATCAGAATAGAGTTTGATGGGGGAAACATTGCAGTTCCAGATAAACTAGACAGCCATTAGAGGGCTTCCGGAATCCAAAACGGACTTTTGGTGCGTTATCTGACTCTGTACGTCCTCACAGACCTCCAGCATCAGATTTTCCCCATAGGAAAGCATTGTATAACTTTTCATGTTGGTGTTACATATTTCAGACCTTCATCATTTCGCGACATGGTGGCGGTCGAGACGTTGTTCTATTTCTTGAACATGTCACTTCAGTTGGGGCAGATTTACCAGAAGTGATGTGGAATCAGCAGTTTTGACCTGATTCCACATGCTGAACATGCACAGTACATGTATGATCTTTCGACCGTCTCTCTAACACTCTGCCTAGCCCATGTTGGCTCTTCTCACCTTATTTACTGTTCCTGGCTGGCAGGCTGTGGCTGGCTGTTGTGGTTGGCAGGCAGGCTGATTTGCCTGCTGTGGCTGGCTGCTGTTGCTGGTTGGCCGGCTGGTTGGCAGCAGCTGGTAGCTGTATCTATCAGACTGGTGTGGCTGGCTGTCAGGCCTCTTTTTTCCCCCATCCCCTTTTTGTGTCTGTTTTTCCCCCAACCCTTTTGTATGTCTCTTTGTCCCCCTCAACCCCTCTGTGTGTCTCCTTGTGCTACATCATCCCTTCTGTGTGTCTTTATCTCTATGTGCCCCCTCCTCTCCTGTGCCCTTCTTGTGCCGCCTCCCCTCTTGTGCCCTACTTCTGCCCCCCTCTCCTGTTGTGCCCTTCAATTGTCCCCTTATTCTCCCATGGCCCTTCTTTGTACCCTTCCCTGTGCCTGCTCACACTCACCTCCCTCTAGTGTGGTAGAGCAGGCTGACTGTGATAGAGGAGCTTCTGTTTCCCTTACCTTATCTGGTAGGAAGCACTTCTGTGCTCTCAGTAAGCACTTCCTGTCAGACCGGGTAGGAGAAACAGAAGCTCCTCACGATGGTCTGCCGCTCGGCCATGCTACATGGAGTGACCGGCAGGAGGGGAGCGCTGTGCAAAGTGCTCTCCTTTCAGTTGGACAACTCATTTGCGTGATACACTTGGAATGTGCAGCTGACACATTCACGTGTCGCACCACACAGTTTGGATAGCTGTGACTTAAAGGGTTACTCCATGCAGCATGACCACTACTGTGATTTGAAGTGGGTATGGTGTCTGGAGTCTGTATTTGCAGTATTTTACAATGACATGCTGCAGATATAGAGTTTAACCACATCTGCTGCCTGAGGTGCAACTCAACCTCCCAAAGCATAATTGCGGCATCATAACCCAGATCAGAACAAGAGTTCCAGGATGGTTAAAGTCAGTCCTGGGCATGTTTGCCATCTGCCATCAGCACATTAAACATGCTGAAGACAGCTAGTGCTTCCTGACATTAGAAGAGGATTGGGCTGTGGGAGAACACTGCACTGCAACAGAGGTGTGTATTAGTTTGATTTTTTTTTTGTCTTTTTTGTTGGGAGAGGGAACTTAGCATACTTTTTTGGTGTTTGGAGTATCCATTCATCTGTAAAGTGATTCTGAATGGGAATTAAGAAGAGTTATGTGCACACATCAGGGCATATTTTTGGTTGGTGTAGAAACTGTGATAGAATTTATCTTGATTCCAAGGCTCAAGCTTATAGGTGTCATATAATGATATCCTATATTAAAATTGGCTAACTTGGACTCAGGAAATGCTTGATGCTTAAACAACACTTAAGACCATATATGTCTAAGTTCCGGGAGCAGAGAGCCCCCACCTAAGATGTCTCTGCTCTAATCATTTTGTTCTCTCATACCTTGAAACTTATTTGTTATGGGTACATGACGCTCATCCCTATGTCTTATCTGTATTCTCTTCCTATTACTGTTCTAAGAGTATTTGCACGTAAGCACTTACTTTTTAATGTATAAAACCCAGCTGATGAATAAAACGTCAGAGGCTTATTTTGAATACCAACAGGTGTCTGGTGTCTAATTCTCGCTTCTCCAAGTGCACTTGTAACAACAATTTGGGCTTCCTCTGAATATAACAAAGATCAACATTTCTGATCCACAACAATTTGGTGCCGTGACCCCGGGATCTGACGGTCGAGAGACTCGGACACTAGCGTACAGGTGGACGTCCCTCTGACAGTGAAATCAGCTGTACAGGAAGGTAAGAAAAACTTTTTTTCTACCTTTATCAATTTCGCTCTCAGATCCACGTCCTACTAGTCTGTCTGGGTAAAGAACGACTTAAAAACGTCTGATCTAAAGAACTTGTTTTCTGTGGTATTATGGTTATATTCAGTTGGAGGTTGTGTTATGTCTTGTGAAAGGAATCTTGAGATAGTGGAATATAACTGTGGGTTGTAAGTTATTTTTATTGTTTGCCTTGTCATTTGTTTTATAATTTGAGTTAGAATCCTCCAAGGGCAGATCTCCTGATCTGTGTTTAGAAGACAAAAACTGTGAAAATTCCACTGCAGCGGTCCTAAGTGTCAAATACACTGTTTTTGTACAGTTTGTCTTGTGTAAGGAAGTAATTAACCCTTACAAGTTTTAAGATGGGTAGCTCTGAAAGTACCCAAGGGGGATTTACGGCTTTGACTATTGTCAAGCATCACAAAGGACAAGGAGCAATTAAGAATGTTAAGAGGTTACTTAAGAAAGCTGGCATGCCCTCAGAAGGCATTCTAGACCCACATATATGGAGTGAATTTATGGCAAATTACAGAGGTTGGTTAGAAGATAATGACTTAGTAGAAGTCGCACAAAAATGGCATGATACTGCTGTTGAATTAACTAAATGTGGTTGTAGAGAAACCACCAGGAAAGGTGTACCATATTATCAATGTTTTGGACCTCTAGGGTCCCAGAGTAGGCAAGATCCTGGGAAAAATCTTGCAAACCCACCCCTTTACCAGGATACTGCAGGGACTCCTTTGGTCCCAAAAGACAAGGCGATTTCCCTTTTACAGAGATCAAAACCTCTCTTTCCAGTAATATTACGCAGTGGGACTTCATATAGTGTCCCAGTAAGACCTATGGGTTCATTAGAGCAGGAAGGTAGTCCAGACTTAAAGGAACCACTAGTTGCCCCCACAGATACCCCAGTGGGGCCATTAGCTCCACAATTTTCTACTCCCATGATACCCAAAGTTGAGAGTGTATACCATGAGCACAGACAGCCGAGCTCAGGTATCCAATACTGGGAAGAATATAAGCCCTGGACACCCAGTGAACAACTGGCAATAATACAGCAGCTGCCAGATGTTGAAAAGGCCCCCTTAGCTCTAGTCCAGTCTCTATCCACAATTCAAGCTACTTACCAGTGTACTTGGATGGATTTAAAACAGATTGTGGCACTAAAAGCTGGTCCCATTTTGGCTAGAATAATTGCTAAATATACAGATGCCCATGAAGATAACCTCAGAAAAAGCAACATGCAAACAGATGAATGGTTTAGAACCAAGTCTGCATCTGGAGCATGCTATGTCACTGCAATGAGAGAATGGGCTAAGGTAAAGACAGAAGAACTAGCCCATAAATTAGGAGACATACTACAAGGGAAAGATGAATGTGTAGAAACATTCTTCACCAGACTACAGATGGCTTGGGAGGCATTGGGTTACACTGATGTTGTAACCACTTCCACCAGACTGCTTATTAACTGCTTCATGGATGGTATCCACATCCCATAAGGACTGGTCTCCAAAATGCTAGACCTGAGTGGAGAAGTTTAACCTATGGTGATCTGGTGAAGGTGGCTAGGGGAGTGGAAGCTAATCTAAATACTAGAAAGAGGAGCACACCTCTAATGGCTGTAACTGTCCCTAGAGCTGATGGGGACAGAAGGCAGGTAGACTGCTGGAATTGTGGCAGGAAAGGACACATTAAACGTAACTGCAGGTGTCCTCCTAAAAATAGAAAACCCAAAGATTCTAATGATAACTCCCATGACAGCCAACCACCACCACCACCCCCCCCCCCCAATAGGAAATTGGCAAACCAGTGTCCCTACATATCATCAATATCCCTGACTCTGCAGGACCCTCACCCATTATCAATGTTACACTGCCTGGGGACCGAATAGTCCCTTTCCTGTTGGACACTGGCGCTGCTAAATCAATGTTACAGGAAAAATATGTATTCCCGTATGAGAAATCTAATGATGTATTATCATGTGTAGGGGTAGATGGTATTGAAAATGACATTCCCCTGACCCACAAGTTGAAATTGAAGCTACATGACTCTACTGCCCTTGTAACAAGGCTACTTGTCAGCCCTCATGCCCCTGCTAATCTACTAGGCAGTGATATACTGTCTGCTCTTAGTGCAAATATCCAGTATAGCCCCACTGGAAAAGTAACATTGTCTGTGCCTTTAGAGGACAAACAAATGATATCTCTTTCAAATGTTCTGGCAACTCTCACTATGCCCAGCCATGTGCCAGAACCTACCATTGACTTGTCCTCAGTCCCTGATTCCTTATGGGCTACAGGGAAGACAGATACAGGCAGACTCTCTGTGCCCCCAGTCAAAATGAATCTCCTGCCCGGAGCCAAACCTCCCTATCAAAAACAATACCCCCTAAGCCCAGCACAGGAAGATGCTATTTCGCAATCTGTGCAAGAGTTTCTGCAGGCAGGGGTAGTTGTCCAGACCACCTCCCCTTGTAACACACCATTGTACCCAATTAAGAAAAAGCAAGAGAAAAGGAAACCTGTGGTCTACCGTATGGTACATGATTTGAGGGCAATTAATGCTGTAACTGAACTCATTGCCCCTAATGTTCCCAACCCACACACCTTGTTGGCACAAATACCACCTTCCTCTAAGGTATTTACTGTTATTGACTTGGAAAATGCATTTTTCAGTGTCCCCCTGGCTCCCGACAGTCAGTTTTTATTTGCATTTACACATAAACACAAGCAGTACACTTGGACAGTATTGCCACAGGGTGCACAAAACTCACCCACTATGTACAGCATGGCTATGGCCCAGATTCTTGAAGAATGGCAAAGGCCAAATAACGTAATTTTATTGCAGTATATCGATGGCCTACTCCTATGTTGCGATAGTATGGAATCTTGTATTGTAAACACTCTTTCCTTACTAAAATTCCTAGAAAAAGCAGGCTGTAAAGCAACAAAAACGAAACTGCAAGCATGTGTAGAGAAAGTTATTTTCCTAGGACATTGCATTTCCCAGGGCATAAAACATCTCACGAAAGTAGAAAAACTGCAGTTCAAAATATTAGACCCCCCAAGTTTAGCCCAGGTTCGTACTTTCCTCGGTTTGATTTCTTACTGCCGCCCTTGGCTGCGTTCCGTAGCTATCTACATGCAACCACTGTATGATTGTCTTGCCAACGAAAACAAACCATTTAAATTAACCCATGCGGCAGAAAATGCCTTCTATACACTTAAGATACTGGTAACGTCAGCTCCGGCACTGGGTCTCCCAGATTACAGAAAGAATTTTAACCTGTTCTGTACTAAGCAATCAGGTTATGCTACATCTGTCCTTACACAGGATCATGGTGGTAAACAAAGACCAATAGCATACTACTTCACCAGATTGGACCCTGTTGCCAGGGGTGCCCCCTCATGTGTTAGGGCAGTGGCGGCTGTTACTGCCCTCCTGGACAAAGCCACTGATATTGTTTTAGATAATCCTGTGACCATATACACACCGCATGATATCAACAGCATACTCTCACAAGTTCAACCAAAACACATACATACTGCAAGGCATCTCAGAATGCAATGTGCCTTGCTTATGCCACCTAATGTTACTCTTAAAAGGTGTATGGTGTTAAATCCATCTACATTGCTTCCCCTGGATTTAAAAGAGGGGAGTGGGGATAGTGTGAATGGTTGTACTTCTGATCTTTTTGTAAATTCACTTTCACCAGATGAGTTAGCTGATGCCCAGGTACCCCATGATTGTGCAGCACTAATGGCACAAGAGACAGCAGGTTTTTTGCATGTATTTGATTCTCCATTATCTAATGCAGATTTTGAGTTTTTTGTAGATGGTTACAGATATGCTGATGAGAAGGGTAATTTCCACACTGGATATGCTGTAGTCTCTGCACATGAGGTAATAAAAGCTGAACCACTCGCTCCTCACTGCTCTGCACAGGAGGCAGAGCTGAAGGCACTCGCTGAAGCGTGTAAAATGGCCTCTGGTAAGACTGCTAATATTTATACAGACTCTCGCTATGCTTTTGGTATAGCCCATGATTTTGGCCCTATATGGCGGGCTCGTGATTTTCTCACCTCAGCAGGAACTCCAATCAAGAATTCTGAAGCCGTAAGTGCACTTATGGACGCTATCCTGCTACCCACTCAAGTAGGCATCATCAAGGTGGCAGCTCACGTGAAGATCACAGATGAAATCTCAAGAGGAAACCACAAAGCAGACGAAGCTGCCAAGCAAGCAGCAATCAAAGTTCATCCCTCTACAGGTAATACCTTTCTACAAGTTGTTCTTACAGATGACGCCGTTGACTACAATATACTGTTGAGCTTACAAAGACAGGCAAGCAAGGAAGAACATGACCTCTGGAGGAAACAAGATGCAGAACCTGATGATGACAGAATGTGGAGGAAAGGTAAAAGACTGTGTTTACCACGAGTGTTGTACCCCATGATGGCCCAGATTGCCCATGGACCTACACATCTATCCAAGATGCACATGAACAGCATAGTAAACACCCATTGGGTAGCACCCGGATTTACTGTTGTAGCAGCTAAACACACCCAAGCTTGCATGATTTGTGCTAGAAACAATCCAGGACAAGCTGTGAAAACACCAAGTAAGCACACACCAAGGCCACTTTACCCGTTTCAAAGACTGCAGATAGACTATATTCAACTACCTAAGGTAGGAGTGTATGAATATGTGTTGGTGTGCATTGATCTCTTTTCAGGTTGCCCTGAGGCCTACCCAGTGTCGAAAGCCACAACAAAGGTCACAGCAAGTAAGCTTCTGAAGGAACTGGTATGTAGATATGGAGTACCTGAAGTGATTGAAATTGACAGAGGTAACCATTTCACTGGGAAAATAATGCAAGAAATTATGAAAGCCCTAGGGATCAGTCAGGCCTTCCACACCCCCTATCACCCCCAGAGTAGTGGGAAAGTAGAAAGGGCAAATGGCACCTTAAAGAACAAGATTGCAAACGCCATGCAAGACACAGGAAAGCCCTAGACTGAATGCCTTCCCCTAGCACTCTTTTCTATGAGATTCACCCCCAATTCCAGACATGGCTTATCCCCTTTTGAGATCCTGTTTGGATGTGCCCCAAAGACAGGCCTCTATTTTCCCCAAACACTACAGATGCAGCATGGTAGTATGACTGCCTATGTTCAGGCCCTACACCAAAGATTAGGCAGGGTGCATAAACAAGTCTTTGATTCTATTCCAGATCCAGACTCTGATTCTGCAACTCACAAACTGCAACCTGGTGATTGGGTGGTGATAAAGAGGCATGTGAGGAAAGGACTTGAACCACGCTTTGACGGTCCATTCCAAGTGCTCTTGACTACGGCTACCTCAGTGAAACTAGAAGGAAAAGCCACGTGGATACACGCCAGTCACTGTAAACAAGTCACTCCGACTGATCCACCAACATGAAGCTGTTCTTATCCTTTACCATTTTATACTGTGTTCAGATATGCTACTCTGACTTGAGACCAGAAAATAATAATGTATGGCAGGAAAATATATGGTTGCAGATAGCAAAGGCTTTTAATTTAACTTCCTTTTGCCTCAACCCTCTCCTCAGTACTGAAAACGCCATAGAATCTTGTCTTATAGCTGTCCCTACCCCCATCTCACTGTTAAGAAAGTACCTACATACCCAAAGACCCCATAAATCTCTACAACTATATTCTTATGCCTTCAACCCACTCGTAGGCAAGCCTCCTCTAGCCCTGAAGACAATTAATGTGACAGGCGCTGAACTATGTTGGTCTTTTTCATGTAATTGTTCAAGAGACCCTAATACTGAATCCCTGTTTTGCCCCACATGGTGGAAAAATACCACGAATTGTAGAGCCCTAAGCACCACTATGAATTGTACCAAAACTCACCAAGTTATGAGTTACCACTACAATGTCTATCTTCCTAAAGGATGGACTTTCTCCTGTGGAAATATTACTTATGCTTATGTCCCAGGTAACATTACAGGAGGTCCCTGTGCAATCTCTCGCCTAACCATGACCATGTTTTCCAAATCTGACCTGATCACTAAAACCACCCAGCTACACAAACTGCTGAGAGACAGGAGAGATGTTAAAAACACCCTTAATGCAGATTGTAACCCAGAAATCACTCTCTTATCTAAAGCCGAATACTCTGCCCTAGCGTACACCTTGGTAGGAGTCCCAGGTTTAGCATTGTATAATACCCGAGTAGTAAATGCTGTAGCCTGTTCCCTTGCAAAAGGTTTAAATGCCACTTCACAGGCCCTAGAAGAGCTACTTATGGACAGCCAGACAAATAAGAAGGCAATCCTTGAGAATAGAGCAGCCATTGACTACTTACTAATGAAACATGACTTAGGCTGTGAAGCTATAGAAGGTATGTGCTGTTTTAACCTATCTGACCATGGCACTATGATCCATAAACATATAAAAGATTTACATGACTTAGTACAGGAGATCAAACAGGATACTGGCTTCTTTGGGGATTGGGATTGGACATTTGGGCTAGGAACATGGTTAACTTTACTAATTAAGAAGATTTTGTACTTTTTGCTGTTAGCTATATTTGTCATTATGGCTATTTTTCTAACCTTTAGATTTTTTTCATGTCTACTAACCTCTCTATGTAAAAGCAAACCTACTATTGGTCGTACCTTAACTTACATTCCAGATCCGACTTCGAAAAGGTTTTATGATGTTACCTCGCCTAACAAATGAAGAAACTCTCCTCTGCTGATTCTGGTGGTCTCTCAGTCCAAGGGAACCGTGGTGAAGCAATAAATGAAAGTCCCACAGGCTTTGGCTAGCAGGCCTGGATATACCTTGGACATTTGGGTGACCCTTGGATCAAAAGAGGGGATTGTGATAGAATTTATCTTGATTCCAAGGCTCAAGCTTATAGGTGTCATATAATGATATCCTATATTAAAATTGGCTAACTTGGACTCAGGAAATGCTTGATGCTTAAACAACACTTAAGACCATATATGTCTAAGTTCCGGGAGCAGAGAGCCCCCACCTAAGATGTCTCTGCTCTAATCATTTTGTTCTCTCATACCTTGAAACTTATTTGTTATGGGTACATGACGCTCATCCCTATGTCTTATCTGTATTCTCTTCTTATTACTGTTCTAAGAGTATTTGCACGTAAGCACTTACTTTTTAATGTATAAAACCCAGCTGATGAATAAAACGTCAGAGGCTTATTTTGAATACCAACAGGTGTCTGGTGTCTAATTCTCGCTTCTCCAAGTGCACTTGTAACAACAATTTGGGCTTCCTCTGAATATAACAAAGATCAACATTTCTGATCCACAACAAAACCTATAACAAACAGATGTTTTTGCAATTGTATTTATTTTATCTCAGATATCTGTTCACTTAACAACAAAATAGCAAGGATTGCAAAACAATGGATAAAATATAATGATTAATTACCACACAATATAGCTAAAAAGAATAAATAGAATATAATATTTAAATATATATATATATATATATATATTTATATTGGGGTAGCCCGTCCTAAAGAGAAATCTGTATTTAGTATTGCATTGTTATTTGGAAATGGAGGTAGTAGCTACGGCGCATCACAGTAATTCACAGTAATCATGTATAGGCTACTTTCAGATATTTTATCCATCCAATCACAATATGTCTCTGAGCAAGCCTCCTTCCTACTCTCCCTTTGTTCCTATTGGTGATGTCAGACTAGACACAATTTATAATATTATTGGGCAAGCCTCATGAGAGATAACGTCAGCATAAAAAATTGTTCCTGTGCTATGCATATATATCCTGCTACCTCCATTTAGCTCATATAGTGACCTTATCCAAAACACCATAGAGCAAACATATTAGCACCCCCAATGACTGAATATGGATTCTGAAATCCATTTATAATTTGGAGAAAAATATCTGGCAAATGGCAGTGATGTTTTACATACACAAAAATCATTTTATAGTGATCCGTAGTGATAAAAATCTACTACCAAAGTAAGATATGTTTTCATGTAGACTTTATTTACAAATCACTCATATTTGTGTCTAGAAAAGTATGCAAGTGTAGTGGTGTCTTTCTTAACCCCTTAAGGACCAAACTTCTGGAATAAAAGGGAATCATGACATGTCACACATGTCATGTGTCCTTAGGGGGGTAAACACCTAGCCACCAAAACAACTTTAGCTTAATGAAGTGTAGTGTATAGACCATGCCTCTGAAGCTTCACTGCTCAAATCACTGCCATTTAGGAGTTAAATTATTACTATTTCTGTTCAGCCCAAGCCATACTTTCCCTGGCTGTGATTGACACACGTATGTAACTTACTTTAAAAGTATTGTATTTATCTCCTGCTCTGTAAGTTGAACTTTAATCACACACAGGAGGCTCCAGCAGGGTCTAGCAAGCTATTAACAGAGTAAGAGATAATACATTCTAAATTAAATATACTTTACGATAAAGGAAGTATAAACATTAGATGACTCTTTACAGGAAGTGTTTAGGAAGGCTAAGTGATCACATGGAGGGAGGTGTGACTAGGGCTGCATAAAGTGATTTAACTCCTAAATGGCAGAGAATTGAGCAGTAAGTACATGGACATGATCTATACACAAACCATGCTTCATTAAGCTAAAGTTGTTCTGGTGAGTATAGTGTCCTTTTACATACATTATACAGTTTTTTTCACAAACTAGATTTATTCAGAATACTAGTGAAGTAATTTTCCAGGTGTGTTTAAATTGTGTATTTCTATACTTTAATCATAGGTCTACTGCAACAAATTATTTCTTGTCTGGAACAAATTATTTCCATTTCTGTTTTTAAATTAAGTCCTGCGTTTACAATAAGCATATGGGAAAACCAATTGTACGAATGGCATGTGCTTTGCATGAATCGAACCCTTAACATAAAGCTACTAAGAAAAATTAATCATAAGAAAGCAAATGAGTGAGTTTTAAATTAGAACTGACATGCCTGATAGGTAAAACATCTGGATGAATGAGATTAGGGCCACCAACTGTCTCCGCCAACTTCAGCAAAAAGAAAAAAAATCAGATTGCATTGTTCTGTCTCCTTCACACTTTAATGATAGCACAGAAATCTTTAATTAGATAGATTAATTCCTCCAAATTGGCATTATATAGCCTGCAGAAATATGGTAGAATTAAAACCAGTGAATAAATTCAATTATTATCTTCTTCTGTCCTCCTGAAGTGCTTAAATAGGGTATATCTGTTTAACTCATGCTGATAAGATGTACTATTTGTACTGATTAGAAGTCTAATTCTGTACAATAGAGACACTTTAGCCATGCTTATTTATGTGATATTGCTGCCAAGACACAGTGATATGTTGTTTTTTTTGTTTTTTCTTTTTCCTTAATTCTATCTAAGTCAAACCTGACCACAAACTACGCACAAGGAAATTGATTGGACACCAACAGCTGACATATCATAAACACTGAATTGATGTGAACTAAAAATTAGTTTGCAAAACGTAGCCTTACAAAACCAGCTTTGTATAAATGATACTGAGAAGTACATGAGAAATAAGAGGGCACAAGCCCTAATAATTAAACATAGGGGATTGGATTATCTTTGCCGGATATGGGTTTACTTTGCTTTATGAATAGTAATTCTTCCATTGAAATCTAAGGGAAAGTTGCAATTCATTATGCAGAGTAAATCCTCACCAGACTGTGAGAAACAATGCTAGGGGAAAAACTATCAACACCTGAGAATAACAAAAGTATAAATTATTACCAACCACAGCTTGGACAATGCTTAATTTATTGTGTATCGTGGTGTGTGGGAATATCTATCATGGTCCCCAGGAAACTCCCCAGTATTCTCCGTACAAATAATCTTAAACCAACGATAAGAGGATACAGCTGTTATGGGAAGCAAAAGGTGTTTTTTTGAATAATGCATTGTAGTTGTCCCTGAGGAAGCCCATTAACGGGGAAACACGATGGACTGATTGGTTTATTGTATATTTTAATAAATTATTTGCAGTATTTC